TATATATTGTTTTATTCTGTATAGTTTTATTATTATTTCGATTTTTTTGGTACTTTTCACTTTATCGGATAGAACTATTTTGCTTTCGTTATTATTACTGCAATATTAGAAAGAATTTTAATTTGTACATATGATCATGCGAGTTGATGATGAAATTTTACATTTCCGTTCTTTTTCTTCCTTTAAATATTTTAAACATTTTTAAACACTTTTTTACTAGCAGCTCATGCCCAGTTAATAAAACTAATTAATTTCATTGCTAATCTTTCTCATCTTTAATTCTTCGCCTCTTTATTGAATTTTTTATCTATCTATATATGTATATATTGATTTAATTTTTCCCCGTCAAATTTGAATTGAAAATAAAATATGCGTTTCCATTATTTGGTCACTATAATTTAACCTATGTAGGTGTAACAGATCTCTTCAAACTAGATAATAAGTTATAAGAAATATTGGCGTTACTTTTAACTGAACTATTAAGAGAACAAAAACAATTAGAGTATTATTTTAGTGAAATTGTTGGTGTCAAGTAAGTAGGTTCATATATTAGTATTTTTTTAAAACAATCATTTAAGTTTTTCAATAACTTTAATACGAAATAAAAAATACCTTTTTTACCAGATCCATGCGTTACGTTAGCCCAAGTAGCTCCTGACGCTGAACCAGCAGGAGGCCCCGGTGGACCAGGTGGACCCGGGGGTCCAGGAAGGCCTTTTCCTGGTGGACCCTTTCAAATAATTTTAATATATTTTTAAAAAGTTATTATTAAGCAGAATATTTTTGAATGATATAGGAAGTTGACAAAAATGATTCAGTATTTTTACGAATGTGAAGAATATATTCATATAAGAAATATAGTGGTATTGGCAAACTATTTGAAAAGTGCAATATATTATGTTGATGTAGATATTGAATCTTATCGAAGGTAAGTGCAAGTGTTATATTAAGTACCTATTTCACAAGCTGTCCCTCGTTACTGTTTTTGTTATTCTAAATTTTATTTATTTTTATGTAAAATAGCAGGTTTTGAATTTTTAGACATTATTACGACTGTTAGATAACTATGGTTTAATATTTTACATAAAATTAGCTGAAGCATTTATTATAAGAAACAATGGCACGTCCCATACAGCTCATGTTAGAATCAATGGACGGTTACATACATCTCATGTAAGGAGCAATGGACGATTCTATGCATCCCATGTAAAGAACAATGGATGGCTTCATATATCTCATGTGAGAAACAATGGACGGTTCCATACATCTCATGTAAGGAACAATGGATGGTCCCATACATCTCATGTAAAGAATAATGGGTGGTTCCATGCATCTCATGTAAGGAACAATGGATGGTCCCATACATCTCATGTAAAGAACAATGGGTGGTTCCATGCATCTCATGTAAGGAACAATGGATGGTCCCATGCATCTCATGTAAAGGACAATGGACGATTTCATACATCTCACGAAAGGAACAATGGACGGTCCATACATCTCATGTGAGGAACAATGAATTGTTCCAGTGTATGGACATTTGTACATGAATCTTTTCTTTTTTTCTATAAAGGAATTTTTGTGGAGGAAAAATATAGCAACAGTACACGTACTTGTGGCCCTGGTGTTCCTGGAGGTCCTGGCAAATAAACATACTTGTCATCAAGCTCATCAATATAAGATACGGGACCAGGTGGTCCTGCAGGTCCTGGATCTCCTTTCAAACCCTAGATAAATGAAAACAATTTAAAACAAATAAAAAAAAATGTGACGCATATATACTTAACAAGCAATTTCTTGATTCTGTTTATCACGAAATGAAATAATGTCACTAGTTCATTGAAATGATATCATGGGTTCAGCTAGAAATTTTTACTTCGGTGTTAAAAACATCTTTTTAGTTCAATTTGTTTAAAAATTGCATGTATATAAAATAGTTGAAGGAAGTTTATTTTTGCATTAAAAGCCTTTCTGCAGTTTGAATACATGATTTGAATACATGATTTGAAAAATTCAGTTATTTTTTTCCCCTTTTTTTCCCTTTCTTTGGCACAGGTAAGAAAAATGAGACTAAATTATCTCAATAAATAGAATTCGATTTTAATTAATCCTTCTAGTTTTATTTATTGTTTGTAAAACTTTAAAGTGTGTTTTTTTTAAAAATTAAAAATAGTCTTTTTTTTTTAATGTATCTCAAAATAATAATTTTAAGGTTCGAAATGAAAACAAAATGAGCAATTCCAATAAGCAAATCAAACATTGAAAAAAAAAAGAAAAAGGAATGGTTAAAACTTCCAGAATATGGTAAGATTTACCATGTTTTTCTATGAGAATACCAAAAAACTCAGCTATTTTTACTGAAGTTCTCTGTTAATGAATTTGGTAAAATTAATAATAAAATATGATTTTATAATATGTGATAAAATTTTGGTAAACGTTGTAAAATTTTTTAATTTTTTCTTAATATCTTAGAGCGTGCCATGGCCACATATTCTGCTAAATTTGCTTTTCAGTTCTGCATTTTTTTACTAAATGCGTGGTAAAAAGAACTATACTTTTGAAAACCTGTATTTCCAGAAAATTATAACTGTATGAAAGCAAATATTACCTATTTCATTATCATACAGTACGTTAATTTTACCAAATTTTTTTTTCTCCACGTATAATACACGATTATGAAAAACATATCAATGTAGAAAAAGATGAAGAAAAAAAAAAACCTTACCAAATTTGAATAAAATTTTTTTTAAATATTTGTACCCGTACGTAGTTATCAATAGTGTAAAAAAAAGTCACGTGACTTCCTTTAATACTACTACTACGAAAAATTTGTAAGAAAATTTTATGAGATAGAAAGTTTAAAATGCAAAAATTAATTTTTTCTAATAAAGTAAGAGTCGATTTCAGTATGATCAGCAATCATCATTAGCAGAATATAAAACAGAATGTGCAGGCGATTGTTTTATTGAATCAGTGTCGTATTTTACCTTCATGCCGGTCAATCCCATAGGTCCCATTTCTCCGGCCACTCCTGGGACACCTGGAGGTCCTTGAGGTCCAATTGGGCCCCTCTCACCTTTCTCACCCTTTTCTCCTTTAAAAAGATACCAAAGGCAAATAAGTTCAATCATTATGTATGTAAAATACTATTCAATTATTAATAATAGGAAAAGAATAATAGATTATAGATTAATAGTTAATTGTTAGAATAGAATAATAGATTATTTTTTAATAATAGAAAAAAAAGAGCATCATCAAATAGTAGAAAATTATGTAAACACAATTGGTCTAATTGCAATAATTGTGTAATTTTAAAGTAGAAAAATGTGTTATTCTAGTTTTCAAAATACGAATTTCTTAAAAATTTTATCTCTTATAATTAAAGGCACTTAATTAACAATTTAATCTAATTTTTACTAATGAGGCTCAACAAAAATATTCCTTGTTGAAATGGATTAAATAAATTAATTCGTATTAAATAATATACGTTCCATCCCAGATAGCAATGCAAAGTTGATTTTAGTATCAACAACAAGGTTTATAAATGATTAGCAAATACTTGTTTGAAAACAATGTTAAATTACAAATGCTATAGTTTACGCATTATGAGGCTTGCATAAACTATCATTTTATTGTATCTGCCTTTACAAAACAAAGCTAGAAAAATTCTCTGAAATCGAGGATGAATCCTCATTTGCAAATCAAAAATTGAAAACAGTCTCAAACTGAGAACAAATTTACCTTCTCAAGGTTTATTTTAAATTTCAAGACCCTCACCGAGACAAGGTTTATTTGCACAGGCTTTTGTATACTATCTTTAACAGATTTAAAATTAAGGTTGGCCTAATCATTAAGTTTTCGACAGAAACAAAATGTTGCATTTGAGAGGAATATATGTAAAGCTAGAATGGAAAAAAAAGGGCAAATACAAAGTTTACAATCAAAGCTAAACGAAAGGAAAAAATTTTTTAAAGTTTTTTACATGCCTTTATACAATCTTTAAGGAAACAAGATTGGCATACTAATATTTTTACTAAGATTAAAAAAAATATTAAGTAGTCAACTTTTTTATGTCAGTCAAATGAAAATACAACGTTTACAGCAAAGTTGCCTGCTATCTGGGATGGCTTTCATTTCCCTTAAAATTAGCATGAAATGCAGTTTTCATGTTATTTATATAAATAATTTTTTTAAGAAAGTCTGCAAAATGAATTAGAAAAGTGTGGTAAGATATTTTTCACCTCTCAAAAATGTTATCTCTTATAATATAAACCATGGACCCGCGATTTTGATAGATTTTTGGATGCTAATTTCAGGAAGAAAAAGAAATCTGTCACGTACGCATTTTTTTTTTCAAACTTAACTTTCGTAACCACAAATCTGAAGACTTATAGTCTACTGAGGAAAGGATTAGCATTTAGTTTAGTAAGTCATGACTACTTGCTACCAACTTACTTAGTTATTAAAAGTCTGCGATGTGAACGAACTAAAAATACAGGGTGTTTATAAAGTCCCGGACCCATTTTGATGTTTAATAACTCATAAAATAATATAGATTAAAATTAATAACATAAATGGTTAGATAGACTCAAAAAGTTTCGCGGCCCTTGTCAATGAACTTCCACTTGTGCTTCTTTGTCGCACGGAGAATATCAAGACGATAGTCAATTTCACGCCAGGTAGCGGCAAGCATGTCGACATCCGCAGAGGCTATTGCGGTTGTATTTCTGGCTTTTAGGTCATCAATGTTCGACACGATCCTCCTGTAAATCCTCAAATAAAAATGTCCAGCGGCGTTATATCAGGTGATCTGGGTGGCCAAGGAATTGAACCTCCTCGCCCAATCCATCATAATGGAAAATGGTCATTCAAAGAACTACGAACGACGATACCCCAATGAAGTGGTGCACCATCTTGTTGCAAAAAGACATGTGGCTGAAGCTCTTCTAGTTGTGGAAATACGAAGTTTTCCAACATGTCTAAGTATACGACTGATGAGACCGTCTTTTCTGTAAAAAAGAAAGGCTCAATGACTCGGGCGTGCATTAGTCCACACCACACATTAACCTTTGGAGAATCCCTTTGTGTCTCACGGTATTCATGGGGGTTTTCAGATCCCCATATGCGCACATTATGGTGATTAACAATGCCAGAAACATGAAAGGATGCTTCGTGGGAGAACATTATGCGCTTCAGAAAATCAGCATCATCTTCTATCCTTCCTACCATATCTGTTGCAAATGCCATCCTCCTAGGCCTATCGCCCGGTTTCAAACCTTGAACAATTTGAACTTTGTATGCATGCAGTCTTAATTGATTCTTAATAACCTTGTACACCGTCGAAATTGGCATATCCAATTCTCTTGCCTCTGATCTCACAGATCTTCTAGGATTGTCAAAAAATGTCTGTCTGACACGCTCAACGTCAAAATCACTTGTGCAGGGACGTCCGGAACGTTTCTTATCTGCGATACTTCCAGTTTCTAGAAAATTCTTTTTCCACCGCAAGATGCTGCTTTTTGATGGAGGATATTTTTGGTAAATTCTTCTGCAATTTCTCTGTGCTTGCACTATCGATTTCGTGTCTATGAACCACCATAAAATCTGTGCTTTCTCTTGTGGTCTATGCATTCTCCTTAATATCCGCTCGAATAAAACATCACGTAGAAAAGTACTACATAGAACAAACACATCAAAAGTAAACATAACATTGCAATAGTTGCCAAAAACAAAAGAGAAAAGAATTCAATTAATAAGCAGACGATATTTAGAAAAGTACAGATATTTAGACTGGAAAAGAAAATTATCTGAAATTAACCACACGCGCAGACGATATTTACAAAAGTTAAGATATTCAAACCTGAAAAGGAAAATATATGAGTTATTCCATCGATAAATGCCATAAGTTTGTTTATATCTTCAGTATTTTATGAGTGTATTTTATGAGTGTTTTATGAGTGTTTTATGAGTGTATTCAGTATTTTATGAGTGTTTTCAGTATTTTTATAAACATCAAAATGGGTCCGGGAATTTATAAACACCCTATACTGTTAAATAATTAAGTACAAAATGCTCTTATTTGAGCAAAGTATAAATATTCCTATGTAGACAAATGAGGTATTGTTTGTTACGTACTTTATTTCTCTGAAATGAGCGAAATTAATTCCCTAAGAATGCAGGACAAATAATTTAGAATTTGCTTATGCTTCATGCATAGTGCGTAAAATAAAAACACACTACTCGGAATAACTTTTGATCTAATGATTAGATCTTCGCGTTCTAATACTCAATCTTAATGATTCGAGGGAATGATCTCAAATATGCTAATTAATTAGTGAAGACGATATTTTAAGTTACGAAATCAGATACTGAAACGTTCTTTCTCTGAATAAACCTACCTTTTTTTTGACGGGTTCGAATTTCTGACCCCTAAAGTATGGGAGAGTAGCCGCAATGTAGGAATTATAGTTCCAATAATTTGATTTTGAACATATCTCGAAAACTTTTAAAGCGAATTAAACAAATTTTTGCACACAATTATAAAATTCGCTTATCAAAAAGAAAAAAAAAATAGTAATTTAGAGTATAAATAGTTGTTAGTACTACTTTTTATTCTTCTATTTAATAAAAGTCGAAAATATTCGAACTTTTAAGTATACAATTTTTTACATGATTTGTAAAATATACAAATTTTTAAATACAAAATTTGAGCTGAAGTTCCTGGGAAATTGAATTTTAAAGAAGTTATGTTTTCAAAATTAAATTTTTCACGGCTTAAAAATAGTTTTAATGTAGTTTCCTAATGTAGTTCAAAATAGTTTTAATAGGCTTAAAAATAGTAATTATGTAGAGTCCGAAAAACGAGGTTTTCTAGTTTTTAAAGTATTATTCGACCATAAATTTAATCGCCTGTTCCAAAGAAAAAAAATTATCAAATAAAGGAAGGCTGGAAATTGTTTTTTAAGTTGTAGTTCGGACCCAATATAGATATACAAACCTTAGGTTAGTTAATATGAACTTAATGCTTCAACGAATATTTTGAATTTACTGAGATGAAGTGGGGGAAAATATTTTGAACTCCATGTCCAATCGATTTTGTTTTGGTTTCATTCAATTATAATCTCAATTCAATTACAATTAATATCTTACTTGACTTAGACGAGCACTTAAGTAACATAAATATGAATAATCAGAAATTTTAATTTTTTGTTATTTTCAGTTACAAAATCTTTTTCTAACATTTGTTTCATTACTTCTATCAACTTAAAATCTGTATTATTCAGATAGTGTAAAAAAAGTACTAAGGAAACTGTATGACATTTATGTAGTAATTCACAGTTTTAAATTTTTTCCCCCATAACCCCTCAATAAACTCAACATGGCGGCATTGGAGAAGAGGGCTAACTTAATGCATTGAATATTTATAACTATAACTGGCGTTGAACAGCCACTTCGTAGTCTTGTAACTTTGAACCAAAACCAGAAGACAAAGGAACTCCTGAATCAAGCATTGGGACAAACTAGCCTACACGGAGGATTTTTAGATGGAACTAATCCACATTTGCGTCACATAGAGAGGAAAACCACGAAAACTTCCCACGTTTTGCCAGATGGCAAGGGAGTTCTAACCCATGATCCGTTAACCACTGAGAATATTTTACGTCAGCACTGTGGTCAGTGTGAGCCGGGAGAAGATTTCGTAGCAACCAGTCATAGCTGGAATTCGAACCTAGGTTACCTTGGCGAAAGCTCTAATCCCCTGATTTACCTAATGCATCCATTGGACCCATATGGCAACTTTTCAAACAATTTCTAGCGTTCTTCAAATTGTTTCCAAATTGAATTTTTTTTTTATAACTCGGGAACTAGGCCTATAATTCATACACATCTTCAACTATTATTTCGTGCTAGAATACAAGAAGTAAAAATCAGACAAAAGAAAACGTGAAATCTCACCCTCTGTAATGATATCCAGTCCATCCTTAAACGTGAGGCAGATAAAATGTTTAAATTATAGATTAGTATATTTTAAGTAAAAAATTAATAATAATCACGTAATTATGGTTATTAGTAAACAAATAATTTAACTGTTCTGCGCATATTAAATAGTGTATGTAAAAACATAAGCAAACAATTATGCCTTTGTGCAGTAAACTATCATTTCATAAGAATTTAAAGATTGCTTCTTTAGAGTTGATTATACAAATAAATAATTGTAACAGAGTTGATAATATTTTTTTAAAGCAATATTTCACTGCAATTTCATAGGAAGCTAACTTTTTGTCATGATGTTAAATAAACTTTATTTAAACTGATACTAACATAAAATATATAATTATTTTCCATTTTATTAAGAAAAACATACAATTATTGAAAAGTTAGAAAAAAAATTGTAATATGAGTTGGGCTCAGGGTAGGTGCCCTGAAAGCCTTTCTGCAAGTCATAACTTGTGATCATACTATGATAAAAAATCGAGCAAAAACAAATTCTTAATCTTTTTAATAAGGGCGTTTATACTTTAAATCCAACTGAAGCATATAGGGTTAGTTGTTATTTGACGGAAAACATTGCACTGTCACTATAAAATGTTTAGGCTATTTTATAGAAATAATTCAATTCTGAATAAAAAATATTTTTTTATAAAACTATTTTTTTCATGGAAAGCAATGTACACTTGATTACCGGATTTACATATCCACCAGATCCAGGGGGTCCAGGTGCTCCTCTGTCCCCCTTTTCTCCTTTAATAGCTTCACCAGGTTCACCCTTTTGTCCAGGATGCCCGGGTATACCTGGACGACCCTAAAGTAATAAAGAGCAAAGAAAAAATTTTTTTTTACCAAAATATTATCAAATTTACTTCAAAAATGGAAATATTTAACTATTAAGGTTTTAATTTTCTCTTACTTGTTGAACAGCAAACTCGTTCTGAAACAAAAAAAAAAGGAATAAAAATATTAGTTAAATAACAGAGTGAACGAAACTTTTAAAAATACAATGAGCCATCATTTTATAACAGAACATTTTTAAATAATCGATGCATTTTGAATATTAAAATATAATTGAATACTTGCGACTTAAGAAGAAGAGGATCTCTGATACACATACACACCTCAGCTTCAACTGGTTGTTTATCAAGTGCTCAAGTCGAATTAAGTTATTCTATACATACGTTAGGAGGTTAATTAACTTGAAATTAATTAAATAAAACGCTGTATCACATATCGAGTTTGTTAAAATGTTATTCATTCTTGTCTATGTCTTTTATTTGACCTAGATGTATTATTTGTTTCTGCATTTTATTGGGACCGTGATTATTTTTATTCCTGTATCTGACAACTTCGTTGCATAATTAGTTTATGTTTTACATGGCTCCGTGCTTGTCTTTGTGTTAAGTAATAAATAAGCCAGATCTTTCTTTCTGGAAGTATATGCCACTCAAGAGAATTCATATTTGACGGGCTAGGCTTATTCCAAATAGAGTGAAAAGAACAGTTGCTAACATAAACAAATGCCACGTTACAGCAGCCAATAAGGATCGATATACACATACTGCGTCACCTTCAGGTATCTAATTGGATCCTTGCAAAGGACGTAATCGTAGGTAAATCCTGATATTTGTCGATTCAGAAACCAATCTTGTTCAATACACATGCGTGACGTAACTGACAGGTATCCAATTAAATCTGAATTGAATTACGTGACCAGGCATCATCACTTCACTTCTTCTCGAGTCGCAAGTAACCAATTAAGCTATGTTATCACATTTCTTTTCATATCACGTGATATTACAAGTTTCATATTAGTATTTAAGCATCAAACAATATAAAGTAAAAATTAAAACAGTTTTTCTCACAAACAAAAAAAAATTTAAATAGTAGTTTAAGGCTTGCATTATATTTAAAATTAAAAAAATCAAGGATAAATTTGATTTAATTTCAATCAACTTTGCTTAATGGTATTAGTACCGGGAAACCCGGAATATCGCTTATGTTTCCGGGTTCTCCTGGAGGTCCCGGTGGACCTGGGGGTCCGGGATATCCTCTTTTTCCTCGACGCCCTCTTTCTCCCTTTTCTCCTTTTTCTTCCTAAAAGAAAAAAAAATTGTAATTAAAATATATATTTTCACTAGTATTTCATTCATTTAGACTATTTAAGTAAACATTATATTTTTGAAACAATACAGATTGAAACCTAACTATTACTATCTTCATTTAAATAACTTAGATATTGATTTTGTAGTATGGAATATACTTAAAAACATTACTTACAAAAATAGGAATACATTCTTGAGTATAATAAAACTTTTCCAAATGTCTTTTAACCTGTCATGAACTAGATTATATGATCCAACTAAATTTCAGATGTTTAGTCAGTTTTTAACATATATTTTGCTGTACATATACTGAAACTAAATATACTTACATTAGATTTATGACAAAAATAGACAGTATCTATCAGAAGCATGTATCTATAACTATGGAAATATATTTAAGAAAAAAAAAACTTTCTTTTCTTAACTTTTTTTTTTAAACTTCAGAAGCTTTTTTCTTCAGAAAAGCATCGATTATTATTTTTTTATTTCTTACTATGAAACTATGAAGGTATCCGAAGTGACACTCGCCAATCAGCAATCGTCTACCGCCAATGTTATTTTTACCGATTGCTTTTTTTAAGTTCTGAAATCATGTATAAAATTTATTTCGAAGTAATTATTTCAGTTATAAACGATAAAAAAGTTATTAAGTCCGTAAAAGTATATCAAAACTATATATACTTGAGATATACTTTTATAGTTTATTATAAACTATATATTTATAATAAACTGTAAAAGTATGTCAAAAACTACAAATTTTGCCTCGAATACGTCGTTGCATAGCGAGTATAACTCATTTCGCAGATGAAGTCAGCTATAAAAAGCTTTTTTAATTTGATCCTTAATCGGAAACTATAATATTTGCGTTTTAAAAAGAAAAATTTAAAAGATCAAAGTATAGACTTAGATTATATATTCCATTATTTCGAGCAATACATTTAAAATTTCCTGTAAAACTCTACATTTCATAAGTATCTTATAACAGCAATTTATTATAAACTTGAAATTAATTTCTTATAAGTATCTTAAACGGGATTTTTCCGACTGCATTATCTATCACGCATTTCGGAAAAATTGATGCGAACTCTTTACATATTTTTGTGAACAACTTACATTTCAAATGATTTATAAATCTGAAACCAAATAAATGAAATAGTCTAAATGTTTTTTATATGTTATTATTATTTCATAACCAAAAAAAGAAATTGTATGAAACAAATTCAGATTGCGTCAAAAAACACTTCGAATACCATCCATGCCATTGTCAATAAATCCATATTACAAAAAAAAATGAAGAAGAAAAAAAGCACTAAGCATCGATAAAATATAAATAGTTCAATAATAAAATAAGCTTAATACAAAAACATATATTTGTTTATCGTAATTAAATTTGCCTAAGGAGTTATAATGTTAAAAGTTTCGTTTGCGTACTGAAATGCAGGCAACACAATCGGAATTAAAAATTCAAGACCTTTCCCTCCTTGTCAATGAAAGCGAAATTCAATTATTGTATTGGTATTCATTGTTGTATAAAGCTTCAGATAAAACTTATTCCATGTTCCCAGCAGATATTGATTTTTTTTCATTATATTTTATTGAAAAATCAAATTTAAAACTGTACCTTTTTGGATATCAAAAGTCTGTAAGTCGATCTATTTTNTCTAACGTATCTTTCAGCTGATGGGTGTTACCAGGAGGATACTGTCGTGTCCCAAGACGTCTCCCTAATGCATCCCACACATGCTCTATGGGATTTAGATCTGGAGAGTAAGCTGGTCAATCCATTCGTATGATATCTTCACTTTCCAGTAGCTTTTGAACATTAGCAGTACAGTGCGGCTGGGCATTGTCATCCATAAAAATGAAGTCTGGTCCAATGGCCCCTCGGAACAGACGCACATGGGGTAGGATTACCTCATTGCAGTAGCGGTCTCCAGTTACAGAACCTCGGTCGAAGATCTGAAGCTCAGTCCGCCCGTTCAACATAATGCCACCCCAGACGACAACTCCAGGACCACCGTAACGATCACTTTCCGCGATGTTATTGGGGTGAAATCGAGCTCCAACCTCTCTCCAGATCAACTGACGTTGAGAATCGCTTGTAGCACTGAAACGACTCTCCTCTGTGAAGAGGACGCGACTCCATTGATGAGGTGTCCAGGTTTCGTGTTCTTTGCACCACTCTAAACGGTGCCGCCGATGGCTAACTCTTAAAGGTATGCAGCGTTCAGGATGTCTAGCAAATAAGCCACCTTTGTGGAGGCGTCTGGCCACTGTAAGTCTTGATACTTGTCGTCAGTGTCAATAAATCCATATTACAAAAATAATGAAGCATCGATGAAATATAAATAGTTCAATAATAAAATAAGCTTAGTACAAAAACATATATTTGTTTATCGTAATTAAATTTGCATAAGGTGTTATAATGTTGAAAGTTTCGTTTGCGTGCTGAAATGCAGGTAACACAATCGAAATTAAAAATTCAAGACCTTTCCCTCCTTGTCAATGAAAGCGAAATTCAATTATTGTATTGGTATTCATTGTTGTAAAAAACTTCAGATAAAACTTATTCCATGTTCCCAGCAGATATTGATTTTTTTTCATTATATATTTTAATGAAAAATCAAATTTAAAACTGTACCTTCTTGGATATCAAAAGTCTGTACGTCGATCTATTTTGGAATACGTCTCATACCCGTAAACGTAATTTAGAGACGTGGACTTGATCTTAAGCTTAATATAACTCTTTAGGCTTAATATAATATTACATTAGGCTTAATATAATATACTACGCACCAGAATTTATCCTATAGAAAACTATATATAGAAAACTATATATAGAAAACTATATATAGAAAACTATATATATTTATATATAGAAAACCTTTTCAACGACTGGTTCGATTGAAAGTTTGCATCCAATCATACTAAGTCGTTGTTCTTTTTTTAATGAAATTAAATTATTTATAGACTCCTTTTAAAAATATTTTTTTACCCCCCCCCCCTTTAAGACATCATTGCATATTCCCTTAAAAAAGTATTCTTACTATGATAAGAGTTCCATCAGGTGCTATGTGTGATATAGGACCTGGTGCACCTGCTGGACCTATAGGACCAACGTCTCCTTTTGGTCCTGGGATTCCAGGTATTCCATCCATCCCAGAATCACCTCGATCACCCTAGTGAAAACAAAGAAAAATATTACAAGTACCATTAGTAATTTTTATTAAATATGTTTAATAATATCTGAAGAGCATCTTCCAGATTTGTAAATTGTTTTGAATTATCAATAAAAATATAGTTTTTAAAAAGAAATTTTCTTTAAATTAAATGTAATAACGAAATGGCGTTCTTCCTTCTTCCTTTACATAACGTATTGATAAATTTGTTTATTATTCAAGACAAATAATGGTAATAGATTCATTTTTATATCCTTTATATAAAAAAAAACTAATATTCCTTATAATAAACTAATAATTCCAAAAACTAATAATAAATTAATTTATAGGGATCATGTCATAGAAAAAACTCACACAAAACAGTGTTAAGTTAGAAAGCAAAAGGCGAGAAAATGCCTGACTAGTGAAAATGGAGACTACAATGAAGACGAGTAGCAAAAAACTAAGAGTCTTAATTACTAAAACTTCATAATAGCAGCCAAACTTTCTTCGTAAGATTTTATTTTTATTTTTATTTTATAACCGTCGTTGAACAGCCGACTCAATTTCTGGGTTTACGACTATTCATGTTAAACTTCGTAACCTTGTGACTTTGAACCCATTCCAGAAGACAAGGGAACTCCTGGATCAAATATAAGGAGAAATTTACCTTCGTGGAGGACTTTTTGATGGTACTAAGCCGCATTTGCGTTATCTGGACAGGAAGACCTCGAGAACCTTCCAGGATTAGCCAGACACATGATCCATTTACCACTGAGGATATTTCACGTCAGCACTGTGGTCGGTGCCAGCCAGATACGGAATTCGTATCGACCAGCCGTCGCCGGGATCGAACCCCGATGCACCTCATTCGAAGGCGAACGCTCTATTCCCTGAGCCATAGCGGCTCTACTTCGTTAGATTCAATACAAGCTTCGCATGGACATTGGAAGATTCCTGGCAATTCCCTAAAGTCTCCAGAGGCAACGTTAGTTGCAGCGGTCTGCCCACCAAATATAGCTGCATATCTGGCGACGAAAAGTAGCTGAATTTAAAGGCTCTGAGAAAAACTGATGCTTAGAAAGCGTCCTCTTGTCCTTTTCTTTCCGCCCCCCCCCCAATGTATTATGAAAATCGTTTGTCTTAACAAGTAGCACCACTCCTTAAAAATGTGGATCACCGAAGTCAAGCATCACTGGCTGCGGTCAGTGTGCGGGTGGGTGACCACTTGGATCAGTCTGCGTAGGGACCGAGGGTGTGCGGTATTGGTCCTCGTTAAACTGTTCTACCGTAAAGTGCATGACTTCGCGTGCAGATCGTTGGGCAACTGAAGCGGGGGTGCCATCCCCTCTGCAGAGGATCAAAATTGTGATGGCTTGTCTTCGGATCATCCTCAGGGATGTTTCCCAAATAGTCGCCAATAGCCCAATGTGCAGCTCTGGTGCGACGTAAATTAACTACAACAACAACAACCTTAAAAATGTGTCAACTAGTTTTACAACAACTTGCATAATGTATGCAGTGCTTAGGTTATTAATTTCAATGTCCTGATTTTTTTTATTTTATTATTAGATAACGTAGTATCAATTAACACGTTGAATGTCATGGGGGTCACCGGTGACTGGCACTGAATTTGTTCGTAGCGCCATGGGGGTCACCAGCGTCCGGCGAAGCCATGATTATTAGAAACAGATAATTCGAGTATGAATGCTTTTAATTTTTTTTACATTGTTATCGATTCTAAAATGGTTTGAAGAAATTAATGCAATACGTACTGAAAAAATCATTTCGGCCAGACGGTCAAGCCATGTAAAATTAGCGTGGTATTCAACACGATAATAATTACTAAAGAAAGAACTTAACTAAAAATTTTGTCATCCTGAAAAAAGTCTACAATTTTGTAAAAGCTTATAACAAGGAGCAAAATAAATGGAAACAAAAAATAAATAAATTTTGAAGTTAAAAGTTATGTAAGGTACTGAAAATTCCATACCTTGAAATATATTCTTAACGAAATTATATAATGATTTGTAAACAAACTATTAAAAATAAATGTTTGTGGACAAACTTATTACTTGTTTTCGAAAAAATACTGAACAGTCTAACACGAAAGTAAAACAGGGCATTTTATTAACTTTATGTTGAACAAAGTGTTGCAAATTAATAAAAGAATGTAAAAAAGGAATCTCTAAGTTATATCGAAAAAAAAAAGTTTCTGTAAAATTATATTGCCATTTCAGAACCATACTTAAAAAGAAAATGCCGGCAGTTATGAAATACGTACCTTTTCACCGTCGGTACCGGGAACACCTGGAATTCCATCTTCGCCTTTATCTCCTTTTTCACCCTTTAAATATTATTAATAAATTAAATTAAAAACTGTATCAAAAAGTGGTTTTAAAATGGAATACTAATATTGTGTTAGAATGTTTTGAGATCAAAACAAAATTACGTAACAAATATAGACTAAGGATAATTTATTTTGAAAAATATTAGAATGTTTTGAAAAATTTGATCCTTATGTTAATCAAAATTATAAGTTTATTTGTTTGAAAAGTATATATTCTCAATTTTCATACAATTTACTGCTTGATTCTGCAACAGAATTAGACAAAAAGATAATTTATGTTTAAAAAGATTATGTTAAGATGGTTATTAAAATTAATAACCATCTTAAACTTCTGGGAATGCTAACAAATGATTTATTTAGAAAAATATAAAAAATATTTTTAAAAGAAATTTAATCCGTATTTTCAGGAAATATAAGAGTTTGTTAATAATAGCGATATTTTTAGGAACATCAGAGATCTTTTTTTCTAATTTTCATGCAATTTACTATTAGATTATACATCAGAATTTGACAAAAAAGTAAAAAATAAAAGTTTTTAAAAATATTATTTCAAAATTAATAACCATCTTAAACTGGAGGGAATAAGTATTAAAAGAAAAGTTGCCAGAAGTCGGTAAAGCATTTTCTTAATACCCTCTTTGTTTGAGTTTGTTAAACATACTTTTGTAACTATCACAGTTGTATCTTCTCCTCCTAGAGGATTGCCTTTGCTTGCTCCAAGGTAACTAATTGGTCCTGGTGGACCAGGAGGTCCCTTGGGTCCTGGTAGTCCTATTCCTGGTGGTCCTATTTCTCCCTGTAAAATATTATTTTCTAAATAAGAATTATACTTATAACCGTCTGAATACTTTTGATTTGACTTGCGCTCAGAGCATTAAGTTTTTCTTTTTATTCTAAAGGATTTACTTCTTATCTTTTAAACCTACCTTTTTCTCCTTAATCTGGCAATCTATGTTCCTATTGAATCTAGTTTCAGATCTTTTAAACATAAATAATACTATTTTTGGAAAAAATTCCATATTGTTTGGTTATCTAAATTTTGTTTATTTAGATATTTATTTTCTTTCACTTAGACTGTGGTGAAAGGTTTCCTTCGGAGATTTTTCACTGTCTATTAAAGAAAACATTTCTATATACAGGTTTTGAATTTATTGTTTTTTTTATTTTTTGATAATTTGGAATTCTAATAATAGAATACAAATAATTGAATTTTAAAAAATATTGCTATGAATTACTGCTATGAATATATGGCTATGAATATATTTTCTTGATGCAACATTGTTCATAAATTTCTACATTGATATATTGATTATTTATGCAATTTTAATTTCCTAAAATATGATAATTATTTTTCTATCAAATAGCTACAACTTTCAGTGCTTTTTTTTAAAAGAAATTATATTGATATACCCGATTAGACTTGTGCAATTTTATTTTCCTTAATAATTTGATAATTATTTTTCTATAAAATACATAAAACTTTTAGTGTTTTAAAAAAAATTTCTATATTGGTGTATTGATTAAATTTATACAATTTTAATTTCCTGAAATCTGATAAATATTTTTCTTTCAAAAAGATTAAACTTCCAGCGTTTTAAAAATTTTTTTATATTGATATGTCTATCAGTTTTATACAATTTTATTTTCTTGAAACTTAAAATTTTTCTTCTTTCAAACAGATAAAACCTTCAGTGTTTTAAAAGAATTTCTATATTGATATATCGATTAGATTTATACATTTTGATTTTTTAAATTCTGATACTTAATTTTTTCTTCAAAGATATGAAATTTTCAGTGTTTAAAAAAACTATATATTGATTACATTTATACAGTTTTAATTTCCTAAAATCTGATAATTATTTTTCTTTTAAATCGATAAAACATTCAGACTTTTAAAAAATTTGAATTGTTTAATTGTCATGTTATGAAAGTTTTGAGCAAAGAAATATATTTTGAATAAATGAAAGGGAAATGTAGAAAAATTATTGCAAGTTGAATGGACAAATTATTGTATAAACAGAATTCAATAAAAATAAGCATTTTTTTCTAAGTTTTAAACTGATAAGCATTTTTACCTTATATTGTAATTGAAACTCATAAGTTGGCTAAGTGTGTTTGGCTCTTAAAATTGCAAAATTATTTAATTAATTAAATAATTAATTATCATTGAGATTTGAATGGCTTAATTTGACCTGCGGCATTTAAAACAAATAATTGTTGAAAGAGGAATTATACTTAAAATGAAATATTGTTCATGAATCTAATAAGATTATAATTTTTCAGCACTATTTTAGGCATAGTCGAATTTATAGTGGACTTTCAAAGAAAGCAACATTAAAGTAAAAGAGAATCTAACTAAATAAGGGAAGATTTATAACGTAACTAGTTGAAATATTCTTCTTTTTTCTCTTTCTACAAATTGAGCAAGAACTCTTTAAAACTCCCATCTCATTTTCCATCTATGTCTCTATCTTTCTATCTCTATCTATCTATCTATCTATNTTTTAAAAAATTTGAATTGCTTAATTGTTATGTAATGAAAGTTTTGAAAAAAGAAATATATTTTGAATAAATGAAAGGGAAACGTAGAAAAACTATTGCAAGTTGAATGGACAAATTATGGTGTAAACAGAATTCAATAAAAATAAGCATTTTTTTCTAATTTTTGAACTGATAAGCATTTTTACCTTATATTGTAATCGAAACTCATATTAGTGTTTGGTTCTTAAAATTGCAAAATTATTTAATTAATTAAATAATTAATTATCATTGAGATTTGAATGGCTTAATTTGACCTGCGGCATTTAAAACAAATAATTGTTGAAAGAGGAATTATATTTAAAATGAAATATTATTCATGAATCTAATAAGATAGTAAGATGGTATTTTAGGCATAGTCTAATTTAAATTCAAAGAGTGGACTTTCAAAGAAAAGAACAATAAAGTAAAAGAGAATCTATCTAAATAAAGGAACATTTATAACGTAACTAGTTGAAATATTCTTTCGTTTTTCACTTTTTACAAATTGAGCAAGACATTTCTCAATAATTGTCTTTAAAACTCCCATCTCATTTTCTATCTATGTATGTCTCTATCTTTCTATCTCTATCTATCTATCTCTCTATTTAGCTCTCTCTCTCTCTCTATCTATTTCTCTATCTATCTCTCTATCTATCTCTCTATCTATCCCTCTATCTATGTAAAAATAACATAGCTTTTGAAAAATTTACATTATACAGTCGGACTCCGATTTAAAGAATTCATAAGAACCAAAAATATTATTCGCTATATCGAGGATAGTTTGTGATATCGAGACCGAAAAAAAAATTGACTAATCTTATAGAATATTCGAACATATCTAATAAGCAAAAACACAAAATAAATAGATATCTTTCACCTTTTATTCAGGAACTTAAAATACGGCCAATGATTACACGCTGATGAATTTGAAATTTTGAAGCATTTCGTGAGTAAGGTTTGCTTAGTTCCTTGATTTCTTACTTTAAAAAGTTTTTTTTCGACATCATGATAAGAAAAAAATACTCCTACATTTACATCTTGCTGTATTAGGTAAGTTTTCACTGTTTCCAAACCATGCAAATCATCAGAAAAAGTAACAGTTTTCACTGGGGATTCCTTATAATCGACTTCTGTGTCAGAATCACCATTCATTGTTTCCTATAAAGCTACTTCATTAACTTCATAAAATTCTTTAAATTGTGAAATTCGGTAAATAGGGTTTCGTTAAACCAGGGTTCGGTAAATAGGGGCTCGTTAAACCAGGTACTTTTATATGATAGTGCTTCACTATAACTTCATAATAGAGACTCTAAATAATTATACATTAATGTGCACAAATAATTATTTAGGGAACTCTAATTTTATCCGATTAAAGGTAATTTTTGTAATATTTTAATGCAAAAATAATAATAATTATGAACGTAAATAAACAATTCAGCTGTTTTTCTCAATAATTAAACAAAAGTACGGCTGATTTCAACTTTTGATTTTTGTTTCCGGAATTCTTAAAAATTATTTTTAAGAAATTAGAAGCAAAAAACTGGATCAAAATTGATTAAAAAACAAAACTTACTTTCGATCCTTTAAGTCCATCATGTCCGGGTATACCAGCTAAACCCCGAGCACCTTGAATACCGTGTTCACCTTTGGAACCCTTTTCTCCTGTGCTACCCTAAACATTAAAGTTCAAAAAAAATATCGTTCTGAAAATTTAAACTATTCTATATTCAAATTCATGCTTTGGTTAGAACTTAAGTTATTATTTAAGAATCAATATATTTAATAAATTATTTAATAACGAACTATTGCAAACACTTAAACTATTTTTTATTCAGATTCATGCATTGGTTAGAACTTAAGTTATTATTTAATCAATATTTTTAAAAAATTATTTAATAATGAACTAGGGCAAAAATTTAAACTATTCTATATTTCGATTCATGCATCGGCTAGAACTTAAGTTACTATTTAAGAATCAATACTTTTAATGAATTATTTAATAACGAGCTATTGCGAAAATTTAAACTATTTTACATTCAGATTCATGCATCTGTTAGAATTTATATTATTTTTTATGAATCAATACTTTTAATAAATTATTTAATAACGAACTCAGCTTAAAACTTTTATTAGACTTCAGTAATTATAAACAACATCAATCCTTATTTTGTAGAAATAAATTCATGTTACGTTCGTGTTTAAGCGTTTCTAAAAATCACTTAATGTGCAATTATAATTGTAATTCAAGATGAGAAACACGGTATGGCAAATATTATTACTGTATCATTAACTTTAAGGTAAAGATTTAACCGATTTACTTGCTCTTAATTTAGTTCAAGATGTCTGAGACAAGTCATTTTACAGAAATAAATAAATAAAAAAAACTGTGGATAAGAGCAATCAAAAATTTTTTTTTTCAAGCTTTATCTTTAAATGCAAAATTTTGTATTCAAACCGTATCTTACTCTAAACTTATGGTAATCTTATCACTTATGAAACTTATAAGAGCCTAACTAGACACCAAGTGAGGTAATCATTTGTGAGGTGCATTTGTCAGTTCAGAAGCCAATCAAGCTCGACACACACGCGTGTCGTCACTTACAGGTATCCAATTAAGTTGGATTTAAGTCACATGGTTAGGCATATACACACTTCTCTTCTTCTCGAGTTACAAGCACCGAATTGTATCTCAATAAATCACGTGTTTGATTTCAGAGAAGAGCTTCTAAGTAATTTCCAAAAGATTTTCTGCACACGAGTAAAATACGACTTTTTTGAGTAAGGATGTTGGTTATCACAGTGTAATACAGGAGCCAAAAGTAAAAGAAAGGGTAAAAACTTTCCTTGAAAAAATACAGGCAGCGACTGGTAGTATTGCCTGCCATGACTCGCAAGAGTTCAGTTTTTGTCATTTTTATAGATTATAAGTATATATAATCACTATTGTTTTTGTGTTCACAAATATCATAAAACACAAGAAAATTAAAAATAAAATTTGAATCAAGGAATAAAAATGCTTAAAATTTGAGTTGAATTAAATAAAACTGAATTAATAAAATTTGAATTTAAATATAAAGATTCGAATTTAAATTAGTTGCGGATTACCCCTCTCTGAAGGATTCGCTCAGTGAGAACTTACGGACTTCGTCTGTTATTTCACAGTAAATTAAGTTTACGGTGCAAATAACATGAAACGGTCTTTTTAAAAAAAGTACATTTCCGTTAAATTAAGAGATTTCGTCTTTTTTCTGCTATTGAGGGTAGTTGCCCCTGAATTTTAAGGACATTTTTATATAGTATATTTTTATAGTGTAGAAAGTAGGAAATAATTGATAATGGAAAAATAATGCATGAAATTGAAATTCAAATAAACCGAATTTTTGAATACGTAAGTACTGATCTAGCGTATTGCCGCGATAGATATTCATCTGAAATAAGTTTTCATTTGTTATCGGAAAACAGATAAAATAATACAACCATGACGGATACGCGATTGTGTGATTAAAATTAATTATGAAAAGAGATATTATTAAACTCAAACTTTATTTAAAAATTATTTCTTAAAATAAATATTTAAATGTAAATGTTATGTATAAAATATTCGTAAATAAGTTATAACATGGGGCACTTCAATAAAATGATTTCGACATAACAACTTACTCGTTCACCTTTGTAGCCCCGTAGTCCTATTTCTCCTTTATCTCCTTTTTGTCCTGGAAAACCTCTTTCTCCTCTAGGTCCTGGTACGCCAGGTGATCCTGGTATTCCTTGAGGGCCTGGTCGTCCTAGATAAGAGGTGAAAGGTCCATCTCCTGGTGTACCATATACTCCTCCTCCAAAAGTGTCATCAAGCTAATGATATGTGAATGTTAATCAGTTAATCAGTCATGTTAATTAGTCATGATAAGAGAATGTTAATCAGTCAAGTTAATTTAATAGCATGAAAAATTTGATTTACTTTTTCGGATTTTTGTTTTGACTAAAGCTGTTAGTGACTGATCAGAAATTTCTCTTCTTACTACGAATTATCAATTTTCTTTCAATTATTTTATTTTAAAAATTGAGACAATTAAAACGCATCATAGCTCATAAACTTATCGACTGTGAGCAGATCATGAATAAAACCTTATTTTTTAGGTTACTAAAATGTTAAAATAACTATTACACATATGTCTGCATCAAATTTAAAACATATTTCCATTTTTTTTTAAAAATTATTTTGTGAGTTCAAAAAAATAATATATGTTAAATTTAAGCAATAAATATTTACATTTATGTTATTGTATGTACATGTGTAACACTTCATAGTTATAAAGATGAAAATAAAATCTTCTTTGTCTTTTAAAAACTAACAAAATACATACGTTGATAATATTTCAAAACAAAGTGATAAAGTATTAAAATAATCAGGTAAGAATTCAATAGTTAATAAAACAAGCAATAAAATCTAATTCAAATTAAAAACACATCTATTTTCACAAATATTTATTACATACATTTAGTATCACAAAAATATATATATTATTACACTTAAAAATATATTTTTGCAAAATAAAATCTGGGAATTTAACATTGTAAGTTTATTTCATTTTAAATTTAACTTACATCGAAAATACTACCCCTATGTGAAGTTGCAGATGCAGGTGGCCCTGGGGGTCCAGGTAATCCTCTAGGACCTGGAGCTCCTGGAATACCGTCAAGACCAGGTTCACCTTTCAGTCCCATGGTACCAGGTGGCCCTTCAGTCCCTGAAGCTCCCTGTTAAAAAGAATTCATTCTTATTAAATTTAAAAATGTTTAAAATCATTTTTATTTTGTATTGATTGGAGCTATAAGGTTGTGTGTTAAATAAAAAGATTGATGCTGAATATATTATGAATAAAAACTGGATAAACTATTTCAATTGAAATAAATTTTTAAAAAAATCCATTAAAACCGACGAATAAAATGAAAATCCATACTTAAATTAAATGAATTAAACTGATTTTGAGACTTTAATTAAAATAGTTAATTTCATTTCTTTCATTATAATTTTAAGTCATTTTTTAATAAAACTAAGTCATTAAAAATCAAAATAAAAAATAAAAATCAACCGTAAAGTTTATAAATTGTGCGTCGTTTTTTTGTTTTATAGAAATGATCAAATGTTAATAGTTGAGAAAAAAAATATTTTTTGGAAAAATCTAGCAATATATTATACAATACAACATATTTTCAATATACAAAATCTTATTGACTACATATTTAAAGTCTCTCAAATATATATTTGCTAAAAATAAATTTTACATTTTCTTTTGGAATCTTATTGTGAAATATTTCAAAACACATGGTCAATTTGACAAAAATATGGTCAATTTTAAATATTGAGAACCTGAAACATAAGCAAATGTAAACTTTTTGGTGATCGAAACAATAAAATGATGTAGAGACATATTTATTGCAAAAATAAAATAAGAACATTTATTTGAAATAAGTTTCAATCATTCCAATGTAAGTCACAAAAAAAATATCAGAAATGTTCCCATATTTTTAACACTTCTATCTTTCGGCGCTATAATACCATTTGAACGGGTTAAAAAATTTTAAGGGTGATCTATTTATGGGAATTTCTTTGAGCGTATTCATGCCGAAGGTTTGCCGAAGTTGCCCCTTGATATTTTTAACAGACCGATTTTACTTTACAATCGACCTAATATTAGGTCTGCGACTACTAATGTTCAGCTCGGTAGCCTTGTAATTTTGAACCCAATCGAGAAGACAAGGAAACTCATGGATCAAGTATTGGGAGAAATTTGCCTTCGTGGAGGACTTTTTGATAGAACTAAACCGCATTTGCGTTACATGGAGAGGAATACCACGAGAACCTCCCACGATTAACCTGCTGACAAGGGGATTCTAATCCATGATCCGTCTACCACTTAGGATATTTTCCGTCAGTACAGTGGTCGGTGCAAATCGAACTCGGAATTCGTATCGAACTGCCGTTGCCGAGGTTCGAACCCGGTTTATCCTCTGATCCACCACTACTCGATGGTTTGAAAAAAAAATCAAATGATGGTTGATTTTTTTTTCAAACCATCGTTGAACACTGACTCAATTTTGGGTTTACGACTATTAATGTTCAACTCCGTAGCCTTTAAATTTTGAACCAATCCAGAAGACACGGAAACTCCTAGATCAGCACTCCCAGAGGTATGATTTGTTATGAGGAACATGGAGGACTTTGTGACTCAACAGATTTAACGTGCATCAGTCATCATTTACTTCCTGGGGAGTCTTCGGCTGGCGGGGATCGAACAGACGACCTCTTGACATGGACCCAGTGCCCTACCAACCAGGCTGTACCGGCCCCCGTAGTTTGATTTTAAAGAGAACATTCTGCAAAAAACAAAACTTATCCCGAGCCTTAAATATTCGGTTACCAATGGCGAGTTGGAGAGTGGAAATTTCATGCCTTGATTAAGAAAATTTAATATTATTACAGTTAAAGGTTCCTTACCTTTTCTCCTTTAGGTCCTGGTAGTCCTGGAAGACCTATTTCGCCTTGAGGACCAGTCATTCCCTGCAATATTCAATTTAAATTAATTTTATTTAATTTAGAATTTACAGAAAAAGTACTATAAGAAAAGTTTTAAAAGAGTATTAAAATATCAGATATATCATTAATAGTTTATTCGTCTTACTTTACTTTGCATTCATAACAATTACTTTTACTAGAGTTTAAATCTTTAAAAAAGGTATTTCATAAATTAATTAATCACAGGTATAAAAACATATATGTTTTAACACTTTTAATTAATAAACTTTTAGTTAACTTAAAATACTTCGATATTAATTAGAAACTTTTAAGAAAAATGAAGCAATAGTAGAATATAATGGAATATTCAAGTTTTTAATAATAATGATGCATTCTATTTAATTTTAATTGCAACTATTTAATTTTTAATTAAAATCGATCCCCTAACTAATTGAAAATTCAATTTTATTATAAAGGATTACAAAAAAAATTAAATATCATAAAATGATCATTGGCAAGAAAAGGGGGACTTATATTTTGAGTTTTGGGGAAAAACTATAAGACTCTTTACTCATATTGAATATTTATTAAAAATAAAATCTCATGACTTTTCTATAAAAAAAACTATTGAGAAAGATTGAATAACTTACTGGATGACCTGGTATACCAGGTATTCCATCTCTGCCCTCCTGCCCTGGTGGTCCTGGTGGAAGATCTAGAGCTGATATGTTACAGTGACATTTATCATTTTCTTCAGTTTCCCAAGGCACACTAAAATCTGTAGCCTTAAAGCAATGGAAAGTAAAACGTCAAAAGTGATTAAAAATATCAAAATATTAGAAACTTGAAATTTTTTAAATTTTATTTTATCTTACTGAATTACATATAATATCATTCAATTTCACTGAAAAACAAATATGGTGTCATATTATCTTGCCGTTGAATCTTTCTTAAACTAGGCGAAAACTTATAATGATATAATAGACTAATATGATTAACAAGCGAAAAATAGTTCATCTGAATCTATAAATATATTCGAAAAAAGCTCATTTCAATCTCTCATTCTATTGAAAAAAGGTTCCTCTCAATCTATCAATCTATTGAAAATGATGCATCTTAATCTATCACTTTATTGAAAAAGGCTCATCTCTGAGTACCACGGAAGATACCAATTTTCTGATAGGGTAGTTAGTTTTCTAAAATTAGTAAGTTATATCAGTTTACCTAAGTTATATTAGTTACCAAATTCTTCTTGTATTGCCTTAATATTTGAAAATTGTTCATTTTCAAAGGCTGAGGATTAGCATTGAACTGCTTCAAAAAAGGTCTGCAATTTTCCCCTTCCCCCCACAATTGAAATAAGGTATAAGCCCTTATCACACATCATTGCATGCATACATAACAGCAAAGTCAGAAATTTCATTTTGAAAAAGAAATATACAAAATTAGCACTTTATTGAAATAATATATTATTTTATAATATATATAAATTATATTATACATTAATTTTATAAAGTTACTCCGCAATTTTATTTTTCGATGAAAAAAGTAAAATGAAAGAAAAAAAATTCTTCAAAAGAATAAATTAACATATTTCTTTTTAATTAATTCAAACAAACATTCCGGCTGTTTATTATAGGTATATTAAAAACGAAACCAGCTTAAAGCAAAACAAGGCAGGGTAACGCTTCTATTTCATTAATTCAATGCACTGTTAAAAAATTCCGGATCAAACTGCGGTACCGGACACTTTGGGTGCATTATCTGTAAAATCCATTTTTTCGTAGAATATTATGGATGAATTTTTACTGCAATATATATTGAATAAGAGTGATGCAGAGATTTTATTGTATTTGTTAGTGTAAAAATTACGATGTATCAGATCTTTTGTTCCGTAACATGTTCCGGTAAATATGGATATAATGAATTAAAAAAAAGTTAGTTGATAGCGAAATATCAAAATTAAAATTAATCGACTCGGTGGAATTTAAAAATTTAAATCCGGAGAGGGAATTGACAAATTTTGCTCAACTCCGACTCTGGTTAGTTAAAAGTTAGGTCTTGTTAACTTTGAATCACGTGAAAATTACTTAGATAAATATTTATATTTATGTAAACGAAAATATTAATGTTATGATAATTATTTAAATAGTTACTTATCATAACTAACTTAACCTAATTAACACTAATTACTTCATTTATACTAATTACTAAATCTTAATTAACTTCATTTGAATGCTTTGCGCTTGAGTTCAATTTGAACTATTGAAAAAAAACATAAAAAATCATTGAAGTTATTGTTTAATCTAAGTTAATAAATGAATTATTAAAAAATTATCTTTTTACTTATAAATTTCAAAACCTTATTTATTTAGCACAGCTACAGAGTAAATTAAAAAAATGTGCGAATAAATTTAATGCATCGTTTGTAATAATTTCCAAGTTCATTAATATTCAGTAAGCAATATTTTTGTGATAATAGACTTGTTTACATGTCCTTTTACGTGTCTGAGATGGATGCTAGCGGTTCTTTACTTATAATGGTTTTGCACAATTTAAATATTTTGTACAAATATTTTACTTACTTTTTCTTCATAGGTTATGTTTTAATATACAAATACAAAATGTAATGTAGTGTCTTTTACTTTAATCGTACATGAAAGAAATAGAAGTATATAATTTGGAATTTACAACTATTTCATATTAATACAATATTCCTTGGATTTGGTGGAAATAAAATAGGAGTCAAGCTATTACGAAAGACTGGAAATATAGCAAAAGATTTATAATATCACGAAATTTTCTTCATTTTTGACGAATCCGAGTAAAAATATATGATCCTGGCATATGATCCGAGTAAAAATTCCGTCAAAATGACGAAATGACTATCGTCACTTTTTCAAGCAAACTAATTTCGACACAATTGTAAGAAATATTTCGTCATTCTATTTTTTTTTTAAATCTCTGAGCTTAATGTTTTTCTTTAGAATAATCACTTTAACGGGGCACCATATAGGTGGAACAACACAACAAGAACATAGATATAAATTACAACCATGCCCGAAGCGGGATTCGAATTTTGGATCTTCCTGGTACGAAACCGACTCCTTGATCACCTTAATTCGTCACTTTATTTCTGATAGTATAGTCTTTATTCTAGTTTCGTCATTCTAGTTAATCCTCTACAACAATGTACTACGATGAAGCTTCGAGTTGCGGAAATATTTTTGTCATGCATTTAAGAGCTTGCATATCGTCTTAAGCCACGTGATTTCCTGATGAAATGATTCTCAAAATTAACGAAATACTGCTCAAGGATTGCTGAATCGTCGAAACACTGTTCTGAATAAAATAAATAAAAAGTTTTATGTTTCCAACATAACTAAACATTTGATTTTATTTTATGGTAAGAGAATTTAGAAAAAGTATAAATACAGCTTTAAACACATATATATATATTCTTACCGGCCCTTCTCCAGATCCAATATCTGGAAAAATCCATTCATCTCTCCTGTCTTTCCTCTTCCAACGAGGATTCCCAAAAAAGGAACAATCGCCCTGAAACATTCAAAACATTTTACGTGATGAGGAAAATAGTAAAACGGTATAATATTTTGTACAAAATAGCAAAAATTGTTTACCTTTTCGCCTCTGGGACCTACAGGTCCTGGGGGACCTGGTGGACCCGTGTCTCCCTTTTCACCACGTAAAAGCTCTATTCTTGGTATTAAATCTTTTTCAGCCTCTTTTGGATTGAAAAAATGCGTCTGAAAAAAAGGATTTTTTTTCATATTTCTACTTTGTACATATTTAATTAAATATTTATTTTAAATTTTAATTTCGCATGTATTTAATTATTTTTTTACGTTCTTACTTTGTATATATTTAATTAAATGCTTTTTTATATTCTTACTTTGTATATATTTAATTAAATACTTTTCTATATCCTTACTTTGTATAGATTTAATTAAATATTGTTTTTACATTCTTACTTTATAAATATTAATTGAGTATTTCTTTTACATTCTTAATTTGTAAATATTTATTTAAATTTTTTTAACATTTTCACTTCATATTTATGTTGAATTTTTAATTTTATTTTTACTCCATATATATTTTATTATCGGTTTTTTGAAATTCTTTCTTCGTATATATTTAATAAATTTTTTTTTTGCATTTTTATTTTGTATATATGTAATTAAATACTTTTTTACACTCTTACTTTGTAAATATTAATTAAATATTTTTTTTTTTTGCATTTATTTAATAATTAGTGTTTCATAGCCGACCCCTTTTAGATTATCATAACCAACTCCATAGGATTATAAACTCCTATCATAACCAACTCCTAAAATTAATCATCCGGGCAGACTCGCTCCCCAGAAAGTACTTTTTGATTAAACTAACGATTTCAGCAAGTCCGACCTCTAACGGTTTTCGTAAATCCACTTGATGTTTAATCAAGAAAATCTGGATTAAGAACTTGTACAGACTAACACATCTAGGGAAGAACTTTTAATATAACTAATCCGCAAATGCGTGTTTGAAGAATAAAACTTCGAAAACTTCCCACGGTTTGTGTGAATTCATCCCATGCCTAATCAGGAAAACCTGGATTAAGCATTGGGTTAGATTCACTTCCGGGGAGAAACTTTTGATGGAGCTAACCCGCCACGAGTAATAGAAACCATGAAAATCTCTCCCTATTAGGGCAAATGTATTTTAACCCATGATCTTAACCATGATCATGACCATTTGAGAATATTTTACATCAGCCGAGTCCAGAGAAGTTTTTGAATCAACCAGCAATCACGGAAACACAAAATTGAGTCACCTCCTTTTCGAGCTCTGTATCCTTTAAGTTTATCCGGTTCAATTTATTTAATGCAGTAAAATTAAATATTTTAAAATATTTATTAAAGTAATAAAATAAATAAAAAATATATAATAGTAATAAACATATAAATTTAAAATATATATGCTAATTACTAAGTGCTGGAAATAATAGCCTGAGGATATTAATTAAAACTTTCGCATAATTTTTTCCTTAAAAATAGCATTTGGCTATATACTACTAGAAAAGCTTTTAAAAATTGATGTTAACATAAAAAAAAATTTAAAAATTTCATGAAATTTCATAAAAAAGAAGAATATACAGTGATCTTATCACACTATACATTTCAGAGATCTCTATGCAAAGTTGTTTATGATCAAACATTTGAAAAAAAGGATTTTAATTGCTTAATTGTGTGCAATTATTAATATGTTTTAATTTAAGTCTGCACTAATTGTCGATACTAATGAACTGAAATCGAATTACATGCATAGCGAGCAAAATAAAGACTACCACTTAATAACTTTTTAACTAGTTACGAGATTTCCACGTACTAGGACCTAATATTTATGACTTATGAGCGTAACTTTAAATGTGTTTATTAATTACAGACGATAGTTTAATAAATTAAGAAATCTGAACGAAAATTTGCTTTCTCTAAACAAACATATATTTTTTTTCCAACTTACAATAATTTTCCAAATGACGATTACCGCAAGCATTTTGAGGGTCAAGAATTACGTCTGATTTCGTAGTTCAAAACATCATCTGCACTAGTTCATTAGCATATTTCAGGTTAATCCCATGAATCATGATCATATCCCATGATCCCATGAATCATGATCCATGAATCATGAAAAGTAACTTTTTGCTGGATACCAGGTCATACAAACATAACAGGAAACGAGGTTGCTTACTCAATAGCAAAATCAACAAACAATCTATCGAACAATCAGCTGACTTATTCTGATGTAAAAAATCAATTCAAAATATTCTCGAATCACAATGGCAAAACTGATGGAAGAATGAAACTAATAACAAACTACACGCCATTAAAACTTACATACAGCCTTATAAACAGTTAAACATCAGTCGAAAACTTGAAGTGCTTTTAAACCGCTTGCGTATTGGCCACACACGAATTAACTCATAAACATCTTTTTCTAAACGAACCAGAACCAGAATGCACAAATTGTAAAGAACATTTAACTGTTACATATATTTTGATCGAATGCAGTATTTTAAAAGCCAGAGATTGCGTCATTTTGGTACCCTCCATCCGTCATTGTTCTCACTAATTGAAGATGATCCTCACTCTAACATTTTCTCGTACCTTAAGGATATTGGCATTTATACATCTATCTAGTTTTCAAACCAAAACAGAATTGTGAACCTAGCTGTAAAATATCTACCTAGTTGGAGACACGATATAGCCAGGACTGGCTCTTGTGCCAAAAACCCAAACAACCAAACCAAACCATGATCATATAAAATTACAATCGTTAGATCAAGAGTTATTAAGGTGTTCTCTTTCTCATTTTGCTTACAACAGGAGACGCAAAAAAAAAAAAAAAATATTTCTAAAATCAAAATTAAAGTTCATTTCTATGATTTTCAAAATTTTCTACCCTATTACGATATATACTATTTAAAATAAATTTTTATTAATATTCTTGTTGTATTTTATTTAATAAATTATTTATTTGTTAGATGCCGAGACAAAATTTGTCTACTGTTGTTTATTATTTCTGAATTCTAAAACAATAATTTTAGCTTAAATTTTCCATTAACAGAATAACGAAACAAGCAACTATGAAATATTTCAAAAAATTGAAATGACAATTTAATGATCTCTAAAGAAAACAAATGTTTTATGTGATTTGCCAATTAAAATAGCGAAATTAATTTCGATTGTTATTATTCTAAAAGAAATTTTTTATTCATAGTGATGATTAGGGAATTAAATCATTAAAAGCATATTATTAATCAACATAATTCAAAAGTTTCTAATTTTTTTTAATTTTTACTTAATACAGAGAGAAATGTATATTAATCTATTTACCATTAGTTTATTTTGTTTCATGTAACAATATTATTAACTAAACATATAATTATGTCTGCTATTTAATGTCAGATGTGAAATTTATTAATATTTTTATAGACATTTGAACTATTGTTATCTTTCACAGACATTCATTCTTTTCAACTTTTGTGTTCACTCAGTTTGCTTGTCCTCGTCCTCGAACGTTATTTTTAATTTCTTATAACTCCAGAACTGTTGGCATTGAAATTTGCATAGAGAAAAAAATTCTTGAAAAACTATCTTACTGTTTTTTATTGACAGTTCTGGCTACAAAAAAGCAACATGACTCTTGTTAATAAAACCAAAATATACGATATCTCTTACATTCACTTGGTAATTATTTATATTTCAAAGGTTTACCGGGCCACCACATTGTTACCACACATTTAGTAAAAAAATACAAAAATAAATAGTAAATTTAACAGATTAAATGGTTTCTATGCCCTGCTCTAAGATATCATGATAAAATTATCAAATATTACCACATTTACCAAATTTTATCACATATGAAAAAATTATTACGTTAATTTTACCGTAATCATTAACAAAGTGCTTCGCTAAAAATTACCGAATTTAGAAAAATTTAAGGTGTTTATGAGATTTATTTGAGGTTGTTTTGCGGTTTCAATTTGAAGTTGACTTCAAGAACAACCTTAAGAGATCAACCTCCCAAGGTGTATAAAGTTATTTTATTCACAGAGGTTGATTGAAATCTACTTTAGAGCAAGCACCTTTGGGAGGTTGTTTAAGAGGTGTGGGTAATTTTTTGTACTCTTCAAAAAAATAAATATATATGAGGTGCGAATAATTTTACCCGATCTCAAATAAAAGTATTGCTGAGTTAGATATGAGGTTGATTTTGTAAGGTGTAAATGAAATGGTTGAAATTAAGGTTTAATTATGAAGTTATATTTTGCGAAACATAACTTCATTTTTTACCTCAGGTGTATTTTTTTCTACCTCTGTCAACCACATAAAACCCCTCAAAAGCACCTATTTTTTAGCAAGGGTGAGCTCTTTAGGGTTCCTATGGAATCAGAAACATTGCAGATTTTACCACATTCAGGTAGTTTTGACCATACTTTTTTCCTCAAGGTGGACATTGTCTATGAGAAGCAATTTTAGCCTCAGATCAGCAAAAAATAGTTTCAAAATTTAAATTATTCCATTCGGGAGAAATGTTTGAAAAATAATATATTTTTTTGCTTTAGTTAAAAATTAACCGTTGTAATAAATAAAACTTTAAACGATTATGTTTAAGAGTTTATCACCCATTTTTTTAATGTTTCATTATTATTTACAAGTTTAATTATCAACGTTCAGTTACCGTGCTACGCCACTGAATTTGACCGATTGAAAGTGACGTCATCGTAGGTAAATCATAAATAGTCGATTCCAAAGCCAATCAGGTTCGACGCACTCGTGTGACGTCGCTTATACTCGTAGGTATCCAATGGAATTTGTTTTAAATCACATGGTTTAGCATAATCACTTATCATTTCTTATCGAATAGCAAGTATTCAATCATTTTTTTTAAAGTTATTTGAAACCACCTGTTTATTTTGTTTATAGATGGTGTTAAAACGTGTTTCTGGTTTTAAAAAAAATAAGCTGCAATTTTTTTTGAAAACTTTGAGAAATCCTGGGAGAAAAAAGTATAATATCAAACTATTCAAGAAGTTTTAAAAAACACCAACGTTTTTATGAATCTGCACCAAAAAGTAATGAATAAAATATTGTTTGAAACTTATAAAAATCGAGTTTATTTCTTCACGGTTAATTTTTCAGGTATTATGTTGATTTTAAATTATCTTAAAATGCATTGCAAGAATTTCTTATGAAATATTTAAAGAACTTCTGTGAAAAGTCACTGGTTTTCAAATTAATATTATAAATCCGAATATATTATCGACTTTTCATTTGCTATCTTTAAAAATATTACAAGAAATTCTTGCAACACATTTCAAAATAAATCTTTATAGAAAATTATCATAGCACTCGAAAAATTATCCGAGATAATATAATACTTGATTTTTATGAGTTACACGCAATGTTTTTTAATAAACCGAAGTCAAATAGTAGAAACAGATAAAACAATAGTTTAAATTATAATTATTATCAAGTAATCATAAAAGTATACTATTTAAACAAAATTAACTTCAATATTAAGCATAATATGATTTTTAACATAATAAATATGATTGATATAGATTGTAAAAGAATATAAGAAGTGAAAATCGAAAAAGTAAACAATACTGACGATTGCATGAGCTCCTTTGTGTACTTTATAATCCTGTGAATGTTGATGATCTTTTCCTGAAATATCAAATAAGTCTTGAAAATAGCAACGAAATTTGGTGTTAATACATCAATATTAATCTATAGAGATATAATTATTCTTGAAAACCAATAGAAAACACTGAGAAACAATTTTTTTGTTGGATTTATACCAATACTTGATTTTACTTAATTCAGGCGTAGAATTTTTTAATCTGATATTAGCTTTGCTTCTAAAGTTACAGAGTTTTTTTAAAATTCAATTTTCATTCCATTTTTATGGAACTGTACATATTTTAAAACGCTATATATAAAAAGGGGGTCCAGTAGTTGAGAGGACAAACTTTTAGGGGAGTTAAGGGACATCATCAGGATTAAAACTGCATTGGAATCCATGCCGGAAATCTCGTCGTAAGTGGCGCTTCCCTATTATGACCTGCTTAGAAGCACATGAAAAAACAGATCATAGGAGAGCACCTCTAGCGACGTATGACGACATTTCCAGGCATGGTTTCCAATGCAATTTTAATTCTATTGCTGTTCTATAACTCATCTAGAAGTTTGTCCCGACAATTACAGGACCTTCTGTTATATGTAACCTTCATAAACTGGTATATATATCGGTAAATAATGGACAATAAATGTTATTGAGAAAATACCATAGCTTGGAGAGAGAAACTGATTGCAGATTTGAAATCAGCGATGAAACAAAAAATTGTTCTCCAATGTAGTTTCTAAGAGATTAGTTCTTATAAAGAGTGCCCATTACATGGAAACCGTCTGATGTTTCGAGAAAAGCACACCGCATCAAAAATCTGAAACATATGAAATATTTTCCAATTATGTGTTTCAATTATACAAAACTTGATTCCCTAAATTCTGCCTCAGGATGTGGAGTTGGGACATTTTAAAATTAAAATGGGAATCGCTATTTCTTTTACTGCAGATTTTCATTTTCTAGTAAAAAGGCGCTAATAGACTTACAGGTTTTGACATTTTAGAGTACAAATAGTTCTGCAATCCCAAAATGCAATTCAGGTTACCATTGTTTAAAAGAAAAATGCCTCGCGAAATAAGTATCAAATAAAAAAAAATTAACTAATGAAGTCAAACTCAATATCCGTCTTATGTCAGCTAACTTCCAATGAATTAGGTCGATATATTAGTTAAAAAATTTAACTAATAACGTCAAACTCAATATCCGTCTTAAGTCAGCAAACTTTCAGAGAGTCAAAAAATTTAACTACTAACGTAAAACTCAATGTCCGTCCTAAGTCAGCTAACTTTCATTAGTTAAAAAAATTAACTAATAACGTCAAACTCAATATCGGTCTTAAGTCAACTAACTTTCGGTAAGTTGGGCCGCTTCAGCAGTTAAAGGATTTAACTAATAACGTCAAATTCAATATCCGTCTTAAGTCAGATAACTTTCAGTGAGTTGGGTGGATTGATTAGTTAGGCGTTTTAAAGTATCAAATACGACTATTTTTATATATTTTTTTATTATTATGTACTTTTTTTATTTGACTTATTTCTCTTGATATCTCCATTTAAAAGATAACAAATTTGAAATAGTTATAAAGCTTAAATAGATAATTTAAGAACTATTAACAAAACTGAAGTGAAAAAAATATGAAGCGAATACAGTTGCAAGCTAATAGACCAATGTCATTTTTTAAGTGTATATTAAAAGCCGAAGAGGAGGGATCACGTTAAAAAAAAAAGACTTCGGCGTTTAGGTAGAGGAGAAATGGTCAATCAAAACACCACTCCCACTCTACTTACTATTACAGCTCTACGAGGAATAAAATGTTGCTATTTTTTTAGCATTTGTTTATTCAAATTAAATCTCCAAAATCAACAATGTGACTATTGTAATATTTCATGTAAAGTGAGCATATTGATTAATTTTTTCTCCTTTCGAAATAAAAAAGTTTTAAATGGAAAATTTTTCAAACACCCTCCTGATGCTTCTATGCATATTAAAAATTAGCATTTTTATTTCTAAACATATCACCTTCACAGCTCTTTAAATATCTCCTAACTCCAACAATAAAATAATTTTAAAAATATGTATATTTCCTAATCATAAATAAATAATAAACCAAATGATAAAATTCTTAAATTCCTATAATATAAACAAAATTCATTACTTTTAAATAATTGTTTTTCTTTTGGTAACTAACTTTAACAATGATATCCAAATTACATAACTTCTTCAAATAATTCAGCGAACTGAAATCGCATTCTTGTCTTCGGCGAAATCAGGAGGAGCTAGTTAAATATTTAAAAACCGCAGAGAAATCACATCTAGCCAATACTAGTACAAATTATTATTCCATCACTAACAAATGTTGTGAAGGGACTTGGCGTTAAGAGCTCTTAAGATCGTGCCAAAGCATCTGCGAGTTTCCGAAAGGGTTACGGTCTCAGCTGGTAACGAATATCGATTACGTTGAAGTAACGGCATCCAATAATCATTATCGTTATGGTTCTGATATTCTATGAGAAAAGTCGAGTTTAGTTGTGAGAATATAAGTAAAAGAAAAGAATGAACATTTTTGCAACTAAGTTACAATGGAAAATTTCTGGCAAACGGTAATAAGAGGGAAATAAATAAATTGATGAAATGGAATGGTAAATATATTTCTTGTAATTGGAAAACTTGAGTTTTTTTAATGAAATATTTAAATTATAAGAGATCAGATTTAATAGAGAAGAAGAAATAGTATATTGTTTTTGTCTAGATAGATATTTTTAAATTTTAATGTCTAACCATGAAACAAATATAGAATATAAAGGATATTTTAATTTTGTAAAAATGTAATTTACAGATTTGGCTTCATTTGCATACTATACAGTGTTTGATTTAATATTTTAAATATAGAATACGTGGACAACTTTGATAATACAAAAATGTTCTTTTGATATTAATAAATGTTATTAATTTAATTAAAAATTTAAAATAGTTCTGAATTTTAAATAACTTCGTATATGTTATTATAAGGGGGGTGTTTTTTAAGGGAAAATTTAAATCATAAAAAGTATGAGTTAATAAGGAAGAAAAAAAAGCATATTGTTTAAGTCTAGATAAGCCTGTTTAGATTTATTATGTCTTCTTTAAACCTGAATGCCTTACAATAAAATAAATAAAGCATATGCAGAAAACTTTAATATTGTAAATACATATATATAAAAAAATTTTTTTTACGGAAACTTAAACTACATTATCTACATAACTTGCATTTGAAATTTCATCCTCAATTCTTCAGTAGAACAGGAACTATGGGCTACTGGGGTACTGTCAGTTTAATTTTAACCACCTACTATTATCTACTCCAAGTTATTGATGCACACGGTGGTTATTTGGATAACAGTGTCTTATAGTTTTCCTCGGTAGTGCCATCTGTTGACAAAACATGTTACTAATTTAGAAACTTAATAAAATTTTGTTCTTGCATTATCTGTTGTCGGCACTCACAGCAATGTCTTATAGTTTCTCTCAGTAGTATTATCTATTGACAAAATTTGTTACTAATTTAGAAACTTAGTAAAATTTTATATTTGCACTATCTACTCCATACTGTTGATAGACGCAGTTGTTATTTTGAAAACAGTAAGTTAGAATTTTTCTCAGAAGCTCCATCTATTGAGAAAATTTGTTACTTGTATAGAAAATAAGTAAGAATAAATAAATAGTTTCCTATGTTCAATGCAGCAAACAATACATTTTTATATCACGCGATTTTTTTTTTCTTCAAGCTTTAGCTCATAATTAAATCAATCAACAAATACCAAATTTATAAAACTGTGCTCATGGGATTTAAGAGTTACTAAGCTTGGTACCAAAAGTTTAATTTTCATCAGATCAAGGTTTTTGAGTATTGCATGTTTAACAGAGTTAAATTGAAATTTTGGGAAAACTATCCCTTTTTTTAAAAAAAAAATCAAAGATTAAAAAAAATATATACTGAATGAGTAACAGTATTTACCTGGATCATAAGAATGTTCAGCTACGCTAAAATGATGAGCAGAATGATTGCTTCTGTGATGAGGAAATAAATCTCTCCCATGCCTCTGAAAGAAAAGTAAATTAATAATGACTTTGACTGCCATACATAGTATAATGCTGATATGTGACATATATTTCACTATAATTTTGGATGAATTCGATATGTTCGTAAAAATACAGTTTTACATAAATATAATTTGCAACGATATGCTAAGAAAATAGTGCAGTAATTCTTTCATAAAGGTGTGAGTTTAAAATAAATTCCATAATTTATTGTGTGAAATTTGCTATATGTTTAAAACAAAGGCTGGAGATTTTTTTTTATCACTAATGGTCTTGAAAACTGCCATTTTACTACTATTTAAAAGTTAAACAGAATTGCTAGAATTGGTACTATAAAAGAAATCAAGTTTTCCTTCGTTAATTCAGTTACTATATTTTAACACTGTATATATCAGACTATATCGTTTAGCATACGATATCTATAAAAAAGTACAAAAAAGGGTAATTTGTCTTTTCTTTCTGAAAATTGTTAGAATTATTTATATAATAAGTTCTGTATCTGTACAATATTTATTAAAATACAGCAGAATGAGTTTTTTCACTACTGTATAATTTTTTAAGCGAAATAAAGTTTATCTACTAATTTTATCTACTCTTTCAAACATTCAGTTCTTACTATGATTTAGCCGGAATAAAACGTAAAAAATAAATCGAGTATTTTTATTAGAACAACAAATATAAAATGTTCTTAGATACATATGAATAACCAATGAAAATAACTTATGTTCTACAAAAAATACACCTGGAATAAACATAGTAAAAATCAGTATAATAATTGATGATCATTTACATTTGCTATAAGTGCAATATATGCTAAAAGGTAAATAACAAAAGAAATATTAAACGTTGTTTATGAAAGCTCTCTATGTTTTTCAACTAGTAATTAAATTATCAAACTTATTAAAATTCCTTTAATGTTCAGTCTATTAAAAAAGAAAGTGTTATAGAGTATAATCATCATCATCATCAATGGCTCGATAGCCTAGGGTGGGCCCTGGCCTTCTCAAGGAGTTTTTCCAGGTTAACCTTTTTCCTGCTAGTGTTTTCCAGTTGTTAGTTTTTAAGACCAAAAGGTCTTTTTCTAGGCCATCTATCCATCTCAAATTCGGCCTGCCACTTTGTCGTGTGACAAATGGTCTGGTATTAAAAACTCTTTTTGCGGTACGATCTTTGTACATTCTGATAACTTGGCCTGGCCACTTTATTCCTTATCGTTTAGTAAAGTTAATAATGTCAGGTTCATTATATGAGTGATGAAGCTCTACCTTTGATGTTCTGAGCCACAAACCATTTTTTTTTAATTCCTCCAAAAATACTTCCCAAGACTATAGTGTATAATAAGCGAAAGTATACCTTAGGTTCGAGTTTATCGTAAAAGAATGGTGGATGTTTATAATACTACAACAATACTACGCGCATATATATATATA